TTGAATTTCAGAGCGGTGTGGAAGCTGTCCTCGTCATAATCGCGGTGTTGTGCGTCCCTGTGATGCTTTTCGGGAAGCCGATCTACTTCATTATGGAACAGAGGAAAAAGAAAAAAGCGATGGGAAGCAACATAGTAAGCTTCTACTCTTATACGTATTCGATATATAGATTATTGTTATGGGATGATGAAGTGTACCTTCTACCCTATGTGACTAGTGGCAAAAGACGAATTCCGAAAGAGAACCCAGAAAAAGGACCGGGCGAAGTCATAAACGTTACCAATAATTTCCCTTCTCGTTTACCTAAATTGCGCTTTCTGCAGTCTTTGAGGTTCATTTTGCATGGACCAGTGTTCCACCTAAACGAGGAGAAGCCGCTGTTAATGATCTATGCTGTATAGCCGCGATCACTATTACCGCTCCAACCAGGCTTTTGACTTTCCGTCTTGTAGGTAGCATCTCAGACAGGGGACGGAGGTGGAGTAGTTGCAAAAGGCGCATACCATGACAAACACGACCAACATAAATTGGAGGTTGAATCGCAGACCGATATACAGCTATTTCAAAAAGCCCTTTTCCCGGAGTCGGTTAATTGGTACAAAACCTGTGAGAGGATAAAAGCATTGGCTTACACACCGGCTTACCACATAATCAAGTACAACAACTTGTAAAATCAGCTGGTAAGAACTTGGGCTGATGAAAATTCACCTGTCGGTGTAGCAAACGAAAAATCCTTCCAGTCTGTTCGTGCAAACGTGGTCTCGGATGACTCGGAGATCATCATCAATGGAAATCACAAAAAAGACGAACCCGAAGCTGCAAGCGCTCATGGGCACGATGAGGTTCACTTCGGTTTGAGGGTAGTATTCCATGGAAAATGAATCAAGTCAATTTTAGGCGTTTGGCGACGTGATGGTTCATCAGGCAATTCACACAATTGAGTACGTCCTTGGTTGCGTTTCGCACACGGCNGATGACTCGGAGATCATCATCAATGGAAATCACAAAAAAGACGAACCCGAAGCTGCAAGCGCTCATGGGCACGATGAGGTTCACTTCGGTTTGAGGGTAATGTTCTATGGAAAATGAATCAAGTCGATTTCAGGCGTTTGGCGACGTGATGGTTCATCAGGCAATTCACACAATTGAGTACGTCCTTGGTTGCGTTTCGCACACGGCGTCATACCTTCGACTTTGGGCTTTATCGCTTGCTCACGCCCGTTTGTTATTCTTCTTTTTTTTCGATATTCATGTTATACGTGGGGGTTCAATTGAACGAATCCAAAGAGGTCTGACTTTTCTTTATATAAATCGGTATGGCTACGTATCCCTTTGCAGAGCTATCTGAGGTACTCTGGCATATGGTGCTCTCGAATGCGTTCATTCTGAGCGGAATCGCTGGCTACATAGCCATTTACGTGATTTTCTTCTTCTTCGCTGTGCTCACCTTCTCAATTCTGGTGCTCATGGAAGGTCTCTCAGCTTTCCTTCACGCACTTCGTCTTCATTGGTAATCTATTTTTTGTTGATTAACTGATTTCGTTCGGCGAGCATCTGCTGAGAATTTCGCAATAGTCCAGATTACTTATGAAATTTTTTATAAGTTTCATAAAATTGGAATGGCTACGTAAGGATCCTACCTACGCCTCTTCTTTTCTTAGTTGATGCCACGATTGCCGGACTGTTCCCCATATTCAACACGTACTTGTCCACGGGGCTGAAGTGGTGCAGTGGCAGGTGGCGCACTATCACACATGCATGGTCACGGGTTCGACTCGCGGATCGGCATCCGCCTAGGCCAATCAAGCATTCCATCCCTCCGGATCGATTACGTGGTACCAGTCACGTCTGGGAGGATAAAAGCACTGACTTGTGCAGCGGTTGGCTACTGCAAGTCATGGTATAGGCCACATACACTTCACTACGACCTGAATGGAGGTCGAAAACGGAGGCGCATTCAACTCCCAAAGACTTTATCCTTTCAGACTTATCCACGAGTTCGAATCCGGCGACTCCGTATTCGAGCTTGTGGACAAGTGCGCTTTGAATAAGGGAGTAAGCAGACATGTCGAAGTAGTGAACAAAAAAGCTGAACTTTTGTAAAATTTCAGCAAGTGCTTTACGAACTCTTCGTGATAGTTTCCCAGCACCTATTAACTAACTCACTGTCAAATTTCAGGGTAGAGTTCCAGTCGAAGTTCTATCAGGGTCTCGGCTATGCGTTTGTGCCGTATTCGTTCAAAACTGCTCTAGAGGCAGCTGAAGCCGGCAACTGACAGCTGATATCCAAACTATGTACTTTCACAGAATAAGCATAAATTCAGTATAATCCGAGTGGCTATTTAGAAGGTAGAGGCCACTTGGTGTATTTGCAAACTGAGAAGGCCACTCTCCTCTCACATTTTATCAATGCTCTCCCGGTGTTTTCACATTCAATAAACGAATCGATACCAGCTTTTATTGCAAGCCATCCCGAGCTCAAGTAAGGGACAGAGATCCCAAAATGTGAGCAGATTCCACAAGTTAATCCAAATCCAATCTGCTGCAAATCAGAATTGCTTCTTACTTCGTTTAAAGGATTCCCCTTCATATTTTGCAAACAGAATGAAAAACGTTCTTAACAGACAGAACTTCTGCCACGCCCCTCACAAATTAACACTGCTCCAGGCAACAGGCAGACCTTTTTTGATGCTTCATTATGCTCGAACTTGAACACGCGAAATCTCGCCTACGCACTAAAGTGCCTACTAGCAATCTAGTGAGCAGTTGTGGGATTGCCAAATATTTCTGGTTTATACAGAACTCTTCGCTGGGATTTCAAACTGCCATACAATGAGAACATAGTTGGAGTTAGAGGATTCGTTCAGCTCAGAATACCAAACCTTACTTTCAAAAAAAAAAAAAAACGTTTTAGTCACTCTTTGAAGCCGACGTATACGCTTATTTTCAAAATTGACTCATCTTGATCTCATTTTAAAATGAGATATGATCTCATTTTAAAATGAGCATGACAGAGTCTTACAAGGTGCTGTAGCTTAAACGAGCTCAACTGAAACCTAAGTATTCATGTCATCAAAAGAGTTTTCAAGTGTTCTTTTCGTTCGCTCTTTGTAAACACCACAAACCCCAAATGCACGATTCTCTCAAAGGCACGTTTACGATAATTTTGGGATATCTAGTTTTGGGTGTATGTCGTTTGGCGCGATGGGCGGGGTCACGCCGCCCATTTGAGGCGGCGCGACTCCGCCCATCGCGCCGTTCAACTCGTTCAGATCGCGTAATCTTCTGCTCTCCTCTCCTCACAGATGATGGTTTGGGCTTCTATGATCCATACAGGAGAGGAGAGCGGAAGATTAAGCGATCTGAACGAGTTGAACGGCGCGATGGGCGGAGTCGCGCCGCCTCAAATGGGCGGCGCGACCCCGCCCATCGCGCCAAGCGACCGCCTCCCTCTAGTTTTAGATGATCAATTGAAGCGATAGTTTAGTTGTAAAAGAGGCGTTGAGAAATATAAGGCTTCAAAAAAGAGGCGAAATGAGAGTTGATGGCAATGTTAGGAAAAAAGCTGCGTGGAAGGGTTACACGAGCTGCCCAGATGTGTGTGAGATTGCCCAGAGATGGCTACAGTAAGCTGCCTGTTTGTGATGTGCGCGTCCTGGTGAGAATGTTGCAATCTCTACAGCCTCTATGTGCAACGTCGTGAGAATTCGTTCGCTTTTTGATGTATGTATATGACTGGTGAGCCAGTCTTGAAGAACTTATTAAGTTTTATCCAAGCATCCTTGTGCTATCCTTGCCACTCGCAGGGTCGTCATGGGGAGGAGCATTAAAGATCATTTTTATTGTAAGCTTTGCTTGTAATTCATCATTCCGGCCGATTTATCTCCCCGTGACAGCTATTTGTTAGCAAATTGGTCTCAAATGCTAACAACCACTCTAAAGACGACGCTGAACCGACAAAGCTCTGAAGGTTTTTTCGAAACAGTACTATACGAACCCAGAAAGGTGTGTTCTAGTGAGCACAGTGTATTGACAGAAGAAAAATTCGAGGTAAAAGAAAACTGGCTCATAAAAACCCTTGCTGGGAACCCTTGATCGAAAAGCGAGCACTGATCTTACTATGCACTATTCTGCTACGCCAACAATAGATGCAATTTTGACTTCCACTTGCTTTTTCATTCATCGTGCCTGTGGTCCGGAAATGGGCAAGAGGTACGTAGCAACAATTGCCTTCCCACCAACACTCACGCGTTTTGTTCACTACGGCAATCTCTGCCCTCTGCAGAATAGGTGGAACTCAGTCAAAAGAACATGGCGGACTTCTGCTTCATTTCGTGATTAAGACCTGCTCTACCTCTAACGTTTGGTGCCTTCGATAAGCCACTCCTTCGAAGCTCTCAATTTCTAAACTCCAATGTCACATCATGTATTTTCATGGATTCTTCCGAGCTTATATCTAGTCCTTTACTGCGTTCAAACCAATGACTATCACATCAGGCCCTTGACAATACATTTCTTTGAACTGATCGACATGCTCTTTTTCTCCATATTGTGATTTTCTCTTTCTATCCGAGTAATCGCACCACTATTCAGACAGTCCGGGGCACTCGTCCGCACTTTCCTACATAGGTCGGTGAAAGGCAATACATTCTTGAACGCACGTGTACCGCAACAGCAACGCATGAAAAAGAAAATAAGGGCTCGTATTTTTTGCATTTTTTTTCTATTATTTGATGAACTCACCTGGGTTAAGTCAGCAATTTAAGCACCATTTCCACATTACAGTGCGCCACCATTTTATCTCAGAATTGTAAAGAGCAAAAGTCGAAGAAGTCGATCGCTGACCACCCATTCATTATATGCTTTTGGAAAGTTTTTTAGACAAAGATCGACTTTAGAGGTCGGAATAAAGGTAACTGAGAGAGTTGTTCTTTGGCGTGTATAGGCGGATCTCTTCTCAACTCACACGACATGGTGTGATAGGATAGGGTTAGGACTCCACTGTTATCTTTAGTGATCATTCGAAAACTCCTGTAGCTCGATAGAAGAAAGTCAAGGTACGGGTGGTCACCCGAGCCAAGTGAGTGTTCTCCGTCAAGCGGTCTCTGATGACAAACGGCTTCCCAGCAAAGTGAAGAGAAGCTGCGCGTTAGGAGGCGGTGACGAAACTTCTTGAGTGAGATCAGAGCAACGTCGTCCGAAACCTTTCACGAACAACAACATAGTTTCTGCCCCATGATCCCCATGATTGCGCACCANCCGAGCCAAGTGAGTGTTCTCCGTCAAGCGGTCTCTGATGACAAACGGCTTCCCAGCAAAGTGAAGAGAAGCCGCACCTTAGGAGGCGGCGACGAAACTTTTGAGTGAGATCAGAGCAACGTCGTCCGAAACCTTTCACGAACAACAACAAAGTTTCTGCCCCATGATCCCCATGATTGCGCACCAACTATAAGACGGTCCCTGTCCACGCGCATCAGCCAATCAATCGATCCTCCTCAACTCCAATCAGAAGGGATTTCTGCAGGATCTTGTGCCGGAAGATGAAAGATTGTTTTTCTAATGACAACAACAGGATGCTCTCTAGGAAGTATTATAGAACTTCGTGCCACCTAAACCGGCCAAGCTTACAAGGAAAGTTATTCTGGGCTGCCTCTGAGACCGGCTACCATTTGCAGTGGTCAGCTCTAGGAAGTCGCTCATGCAATAGGAAAAAAATAACCGAGGAGAGTTTCTGTCCGTCTTCTGCACGATAGCGCTTGGCTTCACGTAACCAAGGCATCACAGTCTAGATTACAGGAACTAGGCTGAAAAGCCATTGTTCTCTGCCCCCGACCTCACTCCTACTGGTCGTCACCTTTTTGAGCATCCAGAACAGTTCCTGGTCAAGAAGAAGATAACAAATTCCAGGCAATTCAAAAATGACGTAGCTGAGTTCTTTGACTGATTTTTGCATAAACCATATAGTTCTCGATCAACAAACCGTTTCAAAACTTACCCGTTACCAAAGTTTGCTAAAAGCACAAGCCTAGCAGTACACTGATCGCAATCACTCTACTACCCTAGCAAGTGAGTGCAATTCGTTCATTAAGAAGAAGAAGCAACGAATTCCTCCAAAAGTGAGTGAAATGGGTACTGAAGAACCTAGTAGTATGAAGGCTTTTCAAATTTGAGTTAATCTATTGCCAGGTACTTTTCCTCTTCCTCCTCTCCTATGGCAGACCATTCTAACCGATTATGCTCTAATGTATGACTGCTAGCGGGGCGAGTGACGTTGTTGTTAAGAGGGCGCATGTCATTAAATGGATTTTTACGACCCACATGTCGAAAGTACCCTGCTCTTTGCTTTCCCAATTTCGGTGGTTCCGAATGGCGTTCCCGAAAGGCTCATTTAATTGGAAGGTAATAAATTTTTTTAGTCTCTTCAGATTATCCTATTCCACCACCCTGCTTTGTCACCCATTCTGGATCAAGAAGCAGCACCTCAATGAGAAGTTTCAAGCTTCTGATCCACTCGCTATCTTCTGTCTTTGTGTTCTTCAACATCTTGTAAGCTTCTTAGAGGGAGTTCGGTGGAAAGAGGAGAACCCAGTGATCTTTCCAATTACTCCATCCGATCTCATCTGGTTTTTCTTGCCATCCCTCGCTCGATTGTTGATAGAGTTCGTTAGAAAATTGTTGTCGTCACGCGCAGTGGTACTGTCCATACCTTCTGTGATATACCACAGCTATTTTCCTCGACCATATATCCACAGAAAGGAAAAGCCTGTTCATCATAATCCGTAGCGCTTGATTTCTATTCCTCTTGCCATTGTTCGCTTTCTACTTTAGTAGAACTTCCCAAACCAGAATATTAGTTGGCGAATGTTTGCTGTGTACCTCAGGCGGAATGCTCTACCTAATTCGCTTCCCATCTTTCCCCTGGGAAGTATTCAGTGACGCAAATGATTGACCTTCCATTCTGACGTAATCCTGTCCATTCCTCCAAATGATACCTCGTCACTTTCCCTTGCCACTCACGTATTAAGTGCATTGTCGGCTATAAAATTTGTTATTAAAAATGCGTTGGGTGTTCGCTATCCTCTCTCCTCCAAAGAACATTATCGCTTCCTCAATTTGTGGACTCCACACCTCCATCTGAAGTGCACAGAGCCTCAACAAACTTACGGGATCGTGGTTTCGAAAGAATTCCATCGCATGTTCGAGGGGCGAGCTAATAATGTCAGTCAAACGCCGCTGTAATTGCAAATGATGAACGAAACTATTGCCCGGAAATTCG